GCTAGGATGCTGGGTTTTTTAGCCGGTATCTCTAGCTCTTCTGGGCTCATTTCTGCTGCAATAGTGGCTATTTCTTTTCTTCCATCGGCGGCCTGTGCTTTTGCTGCAATTTGGATTGCCTGAACATCGCAGTAAAAAACGCGCTTCAAATCACTTCGAAGAGAAATGACACCGTTAGGCCTTGGCATCTTAAGCAACAGGTACGGATAATGCGGTATCGCCATGAATTTTGCTAGTGCTGGGCACCCGAGGATTGCGTGATACGATGAATTGAAGTCCGCAACTTCAAACTTGATGAACTCTGTACGGTAGTTCGAGGGAGTCCCAAAAGTAACCGGTAGAGTGATTTGTCCAAGTGGCATTGCTGCCTTGCCGGGTACTATGCCATAAAAAGGTGTGCTTGTTGGTGTAATCATCCCGGCGAGTTGTAGTCCTATCTTCCTTAAAGTTTCTAAAAAAATGATGTTGAGTCCGGCTCCCCCGTCGATTAGTACTTTCGTGACAGTCATACCGGCAATAGTTGGATCTAGAACCAGTGGGTAATGGCCTGCGTTTCCTACGCTAGTCCATTGGTCTTCTCTTGAAAATTGGATTGGATACTGTGACCAATTGAGATATCTTGGTGTAGCCAGTTCTGCTGCCATGATGGTTCGTAACGCTAGCTTTTCTTGATGTTTGCTTCTAGAATCTGGAACCTCGGCAAAGATTACTGCTACTGTCCCCCTGGATTTTTGGAATCCCTTGTCTTCGTGGTTGTCTTTTTCTTTTTTCTAATTGCCTTCTTTGGTATTCTCCTTACTATCTTTTCTTGTGTATCGATCCTTGAAGGTGTAGCAATCTCTGATGGTGTGATTTTCTTTGGGGTGCAAGATGCAACGCATGTTTTCAATCTCGTCATACCTTCTGGGCTTGGAAAACTTCCTTGATTTGTCAGTCACTGCTACGGTGTTGTTTGGTCCACGTTTTCTTTCCTGTTGTCTGTTGTTTCGATGATTTTGCTTGTCCGGGTTGTCTCGGTTGTTTCTATCCGGGAATCTCTCTCGTGTCTTTTCTTCTGCAGTAATCATCTTTTCCACTGTTCGTCTGAATTCTTCATTGTTTCTTGGGTTTTCTTTGCAGAAGTCTTAAAATTGCCACCTAGCCATGATTCCGTGAGAGAAAGCTTCGATTACTTCTCGTTGGGTGATGTCATGTACTTGAGCTCGTAGTTCGCCAAATCATCGATAGTAATTTCTGAGACTTTCACCTCCTTTCTGCTTGAGTCCTTTTAACTCTGCGTGGGTGATTGGGTGTGTAATGATACCCGTGAAATTTTCGCAGAAAGCTCTTTGCAAGTCCTCCCAATTTCTGATTGATCCTGGATTCAATTTGTCAAACCATTGAAGTGGCATGGTTTCTAGGGCCATGGGAAAGAACAAGGTCTTGATGTCATCGTCTCCTCCGGCCAATTCAATCGATTGCGAGTAAATCCTGAGCCATTGCTTTGGTTCGGTCTTGCCATCATACTTGAAGTGGTTGGACGGCTTGAACTTGTGAGGCAGTCATATTGAAGCAAGTCTGTTTGCAAAACAGGGGAATCTATCGTGCGTTCTGGCTTCTGTGTATTCTGATTCAGCGCCCCCTTCTTGCCAACTGTTGTCTTGGTGAGAGTAGTTTTGCGTGGCTGTCTAAGTAGGTGCTTTGCTTCTGGCCTTTCTTGGTTGTTCGACTCGGTCGTTTTGACTATGGTTCCTTCTGCTTTCTCTGTTGTGACTTCCACTTGGTCCAAGTCTCTCGAAAGCAGACTTCCTTTGATTTTGATCTTCCTGCTCATGAGATGTTGACCTGCCAAGTAGTCTTGAGCGGGCCTTTCCGTCGTGCGTTCTTTGGACTGTTGATCGGAGGAAGTCCCGGAGCTGTTCTTGTTTTTCATTGGGATATGAAGTCGCCCTGAGTTCTTCTAGTGCTTCTCGGATCTTATCGTAGGGTGTATTCGCCGCTCGTCCTTCTTCAACCTCTCGCTCTGATTTTCTTCTATTGTACTCGGCTAGGTCTGACTCATATTTGATCCAAGCTTCCTTGCGCTGCTTAGCACGACGTTGACGTCCTTGTTTCAATTTGTTCTTTCTCTCTCTGGCTTGCCTCTGACTCTCGGTCTCACCATCGTGCCCCTGGGTAATTGGTGATATGTTGGATTTGGATTCATTTGAAGACCTGACGTCGGGCGCTTCTGGGGGGACCAATGGTGATCGAGGACGGCGAATCATGAATACTTCTCGAGCGTGAGTTGTTCTGTCATCAGCGTTGGTTTCCGTACTGTCAGAGTTGTTGATAACTTCAGTAGAGGCTTCAGGGTCGCAGATCGAGTCTCCTTCTTGGTAGGGTAGAGCTGTTGTCGTTGTTGTGTCAACTAGGCGGGTACTGCTATCCTCAGGAACAGAACCTGGCCAGTGGATGATGCAGTCTTGAGATGTTACGGTTAGTACAAGACCTTTCTGAGCTCCTGTCAGTGGTATTACAAGCACTGGATTAAGAGATCTTTCGAGCTGTGCCCGATAAAGCGTTGCCATGTTGCCGAGACCGAATGGAAAAGACCCGTCTTCTTTAGAGTACTCTGAGTGTACTCCGAGTTGTATTCTTGATAGGTTGATGTCGTGTCCCGGAGCCTTATTGGAAAAGAACTCGGTTTCCCAAAAGAACTCGGATAAGACTCCGTCTAGGAAGCGGAGCCTGAGTTTGAATCGGTTGCGTGAAGCCGCGAAATCTGAGTTGGATCGGACATCGTGAGCTGCACGAATCTTCCAGCAAGTTGATCTGTCGTTGTCGCCGAAATGGAAAAGTCCTGATGATGATCTGAATCTTCGAGGAGACGGCCTTGGAGCTTGCCATCGTTGCCTGCCTCGCAGATCCACGAACCGAAGACGAAGGTTGATCCCTTCGAAAAGATCATGTTGTCGAGGTCCATCGAGCTCTCGGATGCAAAGTCGCCGAAGTCCCCTACCTGGCGCGCTAGCTGTCGATGTTTGACCACCGATAGCCTGCCACGGGGGTACCCGGGGTAGTATGTTCGGGCTTCAGCATATGCAGAACTCGACGGTTAACGCAAGAGACAGTCGATTTATCCTGGTTCGGACCCTCGATCTTTGATCGAGTAATAGCCCTACATCCAGTCGGCGTTAGCCTTTACGTTGGATTGATTGTAAAATGTTGTGTTGCGTTATCTAAAAGTCTCTTCTCTAGGAACCCTGCCCTCCTTTATATAGTCAGGAGGTCAGAATCCTAGTCGGTTTACAGTGAGTGTTCCTAGTAGGATTACAGAATAATACTACTACTAAGATTACATGGAAAGAATCCTAGTTAGATTAGATCTTCTCCCTTCCTTGTGGGGTATCCCGTGGATCCCACACCGACACTCCCTCATGCTAATCATCACTCGCTATGTCAGCAAAATATCATAGGTGGAATCTAATTAATCCACTGGGAGTAGCCGTAAACAAATACTTCGGTGCAGCATGTCTATTTCACGGTGATGGGCACACGCATACGGGTATCTGTGTGCAAGATACTTCACCAAGTTGCAAAGAAGGGATCTGACATGCTCCCTCAGTCTCATAATTAAACAATGAAAATCTCGTTTCTTGAGGAGTTAAACAATCTTCAGTTTAAAAAATATATAAAAATAACTAACATTTATGATGCACAAAAAATATCATTAGATTAATCATGACATATATTCTAATAAACATATTTAAAGATACAAATATTTTGATCTTATTTGTTTGTAAACCTGCTAATGAGACATGCTCCCTTTGTCTACGGAAGCTTGCTGGTCAAACTTTCTTAAGTTTGACTAGGTTTATAGAAAATATTAACAATATTTATACCTCTAAATAAGTTTATCATGAAAATAGATTTAATGATCTATCTAATGATACTAATTACGTCTTATAAAAGTATTTTCTTGTATATATTTGGTCAAAGTTGAGTATTTTTGACGTTTTGAGAAGCGAGAACGGCAGTTAAAAAGGAACGGGGGAGTAAAGATTGTTCAACCGTGAAGTGAGACTTTCATTGTTTTTGAGACAGTAGAAGTATTAATGTCTAGATAAGACCAAACCCCAAGACTGCTGAGGCGCAGACGAACCAATATATTTAAATAACTGCATATTGACAGATTTATCTCCAAGAAAACCAATGTGGACATGATGATATCTCCTGATTGTATATAATTCTATATAGCCAGATAAAATAAAGATGGGTGAACCGTTAGTTTTTATGAATAATATGCCTTTTTACCTTTAATTTACACAATTAGCGCTTGTTTAAGATGAAGAAAGAAAAGAAAAGGATTAAAGATGATTTAGGTTTTTATTCCAATATATCAAGATTAATATTTTTTTACGCTAACATGAATGTCTGATATTGATATTCTAATTTTTTTTTGTCGATACATGGTGGACGGTCCCCCTATAATCCTGACTCTCCCCCTAAATCTATAGGGGCAATTAGAGTTCATCTCCACTGCTACACAATGTTTAATGGAGGCGGGCCAAATTGGTTAATGGAGGCGGGCAATGCAACTGTCTCCAATCAAAGGTCACCGTTATTGGAGACCTACGGAGGCGGTTGCGTTGCCTGCCTCGGTTAATTGATTAACGGAGGCGAACACCTTAATTAAGGCAACCGTCTCGATCGGTTAATTCCTATTAACAGAGGGGGTTAATCAAAGTGCACCCTCTCTCAAAATTATTTGTGTAGCAGTGCTCGCCATGTTAACACATGGGATTTTGCTTTTTCACCTCTCCAACAAAGATTATTAAGATTGAGAAGATGAAAAGTTATCACGTGATGCACAATAACTCCTTCTGATGTGTACACGTGATGTACAGCTCTTTGATGCAACCAACGCTAACTATAATGCAATTTCTTATTGGACAGACAATGATCGTTCCATCCATAGTTTATGCGCGACAAGCCAACAACCACTAGCAGGATTTAAAAACCTCCAAAACCAAGTCTCATCAGCTGGGGGTGTAAGATCTAAGTTGCTGCACAAATTCATCGATGTACCTCTCCTGGAGCTCCTTATTGGCTACAACTTCTTGCAACTTCATGGCGTTTGCTAGAAAGACCCTCCTGGTATCTTCTTCAACCATCACGGCCCGCACTGTGTTGGCAATCCCTTGGCGGTCGAAAGACCCATCGTCTTCATCCCTTGGAACCTGCAACCCTACCTTCCTCGCTGCCATGAGACGCGCATTTGGACCTTGGTCGCCGATGATCGGTAGCATGATCAGAGGGTGCCCATACAGAAGGCCTTCGGTGAGCGAGTTCCGTCCACAGTGCGTCAAGAACGCGCCCACGGCGCCATGCGCCAGTATGGTATTCTGCGGCACCCAGCTCGTGGTCACCATGCCAAGGCCGTGCGTACGCTCCTGGAAGCCCGGAGGGAGGACATCAGCGTCAGGAACGCCCCTGGGCTTCCTCAGCGCCCAGAGGAATCGCGTTCCGGCGAGCTCAAGCCCATGAGCCAGCTCGTGGACCAGCTCCACGCGCAGCGGCACTTCGCTGCCCAGCGCGACGTACACGACCGACTTGGGTGGCTGCGGGTCCAGCCACCGCACGGTGGCGTCGTCTCTGTTCATGCCGGCGCCGCGGCCTCCGTCCGGCGACGGCGGCAGGAGGCCGAGTGGGAGGAGTGGCTTGCCGAGGAGCGCGGTGGCATGCGAGAAGGCGTGGAGCTCCCACTCGGGGCAGCTCCGCATGGCCGTGATCGCGCACCCCTCCAAAGTCAAGGTGAAGCGCCGGGCGATCGACATACCTGACGTGCCGACAGGTGTGAACAACGCCGCGGCCCCATCCCACTCGTAGCGCGGCATGCCCGCCGGTGGCTCCTCCACGGTGGTGAGGTGCTCGAATATGGAGGCCGCGGTGAGATCCGCGCGGTCCCGCGCCCCGCACGCCAACGCCGCTATCGTGGCCGCGCTGGGCTGGAGCATCGCGCACGGCACCCTGTGCGCCGCGGCGACGGCGGGCGCCCAGTGGTGGAACGTGTCGACCAAGATCCAGTCCGGCCGGCTCACCTCGTCACCGGCGCACGCGGCGCTCAGGAACTCCGTGAACGGCGCGGCGAGGCCGTCGAAGGCCAACCTGAGCGGCACGAGCCTGTCGCGGGGGACGTCGTTGGTGGACTCGGCGCCCTCGGGGAGGCCCTCCACCCGTGGGAGCTGGAGCGCCACGAGGTCCACGGCGTGGCGCCGCGGCGGCAGGCGCGCGAGGTTCCTGGGCGTGGAGACGTAGGACACGCGGTGGCCACGCGACGCCAGGCGCTCGGCGAGCTCCAGGTACGGGAGCATGTGGCCGAACGCGAGCCACGGGCAGATCACGATGCGCAGCGGCGGCGGCACTGTTGACGACTCGACATCCATGGCGAGGTGATGGATGAGTATCTGTGACAACCAATCAGCTCGATAGCACTACGCCCATCGCCGGGCCAGGCGAGCTCTCGTTGTAGCTAAAAAAGGCCAAAGGGGACGGGGAGTTGTGTTAATTTGGAGTGCAGCACACTACCTAATAATTTCTAAAATTGTGGAGTCATGTATGCTGAATTGCCGATGGATGTGACGTGCAACTTAGGTGTCGGAGCAAATTACAAGCTAGCCAGCTAGGACAGGGGTAGCATCGAAATTCTCCACTTCACCAATCGACGTTGATCGAGGAACACCTTGAGCTCGCTAATTGGCGCGATGTCGCTCTCGATCGCTATGGCAAGGTACGACCACATCGACAACGAGACCTCGGTATGTCTCCCTGCGGACCCCGCCCGTACGTGGACGGCGTGGAGTAGCCTGTTTCATCAACCAGTCATTATCGTATGTATAAGTGTCGATCAGCCTCGGCGGCGGCATAGATAATGCTAGAACATGTACTACATGTGTGTGGCTGCCGGACGGCCACCGCGAGCGATTCGTTTGTCCACACAGCAACGGGGCTCACTATACCACAGCCTCAAAGATCTTATAGGTTTTTCAATAAACCTCTTCTTGTAAAGTAAGGCCAGTTTGGATTCACTCTAGCTAAACTTTATTAGCTAACTAATTTAACTAGCAAAAATTTATCCTAGCTATTTGGATCCTCTAGCAAATTGGTGTTTATTGACCATATTGTCCTTTCTTCCTCCCTCCATCTCCGATGCCCTTTCTTCCTCCCGGTGCCTGCCCATGTCGCGGAGTTCCCGTGCCTCTGCGAGGCCACCCTTGGTGCCCGCCCCCACGACCACGACCCCGGCCCCGGCGCCCGCCTTCCGCGACCCCGCACCCCCCGGCACCCGCCTCCGCGGCCCTGGTCCCGGCTCCCGCCCCTGCAGCGGAGAGCTGTGGCACGCGCCACCAGGTTCGACGGGGAGCAGTGCCAGTATCTGAAAATTTTGGTGTCCCTTTACCTTTCAAAACCTCACTAATACTTTAGGTGTGAAGAAAAGCACTCTATAATCGTTTCAAAGAAGGCTACTTTCGTTGTCACACTAATGACCTTAAAGTTACTGCTGTACAGGTTTACTGCTATACATGAGCGTGGTGCCGGCCAAATTCCGTTATGCCATTGATCTCTTGGGCAGATGCTTCAAATCTGATTTGGCAAGGAGGATATTGCTCACTATTTATCGAGTTAAATGTCTGCATACATTTAGGCAAATTGCACTACGCAGGAAATGGAAGGAACGCATGAAACAAAGGAGGGCCACAACTCCACAAGATGGCTTCTGTATCCCGTGACGTTAGGATTTGATAATATTTATTTTTTCTTTTTCTAGGTTAATTAATTAATTTAAAAAATGTAAAAAGTTGAGGGCCTTGAATTTGCTTGAGGTATTATTACTCCCCAGTAAGTAAAGGGAGCGCCATAGCATTGCTCTTTTGTATTTGCAATCACCTTCTAATATCTCTCTTACCTTTGCTCGCAGATATTCCTCCATTTCCAAATTTTAAGTCGCTTTGACTTTTTTACATCGAATTTGCTATGTATTTTTTAATTCATAGCAAATTCGATGTACCAAAAAAGTCAAAACGACTTATAATTTGGAGCGGAGATAGTACCATTTTAGTTCTTCACATAAGACCCACTTAGGATTGAGTTAATCTTCACCTCATTAGTGCAGGACTGGGCATCAGTCCGGGCATCAGTCCCGGTTGAGAAACCCCATTTAGTCTCGGGTTTTCCAACCGGGATTACGAATCTAGTACCAAAGGCCCCCCTTTTGTCCCGGTTCTGGCAACCGGGACTGAAAGTGGACCTTAAGTCCCGCCTGCATCTCGGCATCGGCCATGACGTCGAGGATGGCAGGCAGCTTGCGCTCGAGGATCTTGCGCTGCTTCTCCATGCCCTCCATCACGTTGTACTGGTCTAGGAGAGAGCTGGACACCTTGTCCTTCAGCAGGGACACCAGCGTCCCAACCACCAGGCTGGCCGCTAGTTCAGCCATTGGAGCGAGCACTCAGCGCTCAGCAGAGTTGTCGAGAACACACAATGGTAGGTTGTGGGCAAGCTGAGAGGTCTCTTTGGTAACTCGTACTCCTATGTAGTTAAAGCATGAGAAATCTCCTTTCAACGATTCCCTCTTGAAAAGAACATGTACCTAACAACTCGGAATTATTGCTTCCAAATGGTTTGGTAGCACGCCGCTCTCTCGTGCTCGTCCTGTGCGTGTGGTCGCGTCGAGGTCGGCAATAATGGAGGGCCAGGGCCAGGGGGACAAGGTCACATGGCCGGCAGCCCGCGCTGCCCGTGCCCTGCCCCCGGCCGCGCCCGGCCGCCCGCGCCCTGCCCCCGGCCGCGCCGGCCCTGCCCTCGGCCGCGCCCTGCCCCCAGCCGCGCCAGGCCTGCCCCCGGCCGCGCCCCGTGGACCGCCCGCCCCGACGCCGCCCGTGCCCGACCCCGTTCCCGACTCCGGCGACCCCGACCATGACCTCGACGCCGCCTGACCCCGACGCCGCCCGCCCCTACCCCCGGCGCCCGTCAGGTATGTCGTCTCTCTTGTTGTTGTCGTGGTAGTGATAGTTGAAGTAGTATTAGTTGTACTAGTAGTGCTAGTGGTAGTAGTAGTAGTATTAGAAGTAGTGGTAGTAGTAGTAGTACAACTAGTGGTAGTAGTAGTAGTAGAATTAGTGGTAGTAGTAGTAGAAGTAGTGGTAGTAGTAGTAGTAGAACTAGTGGTAGTAGTTGTAGCAATAGTGGTAGTAGTAGTAGTAGTAGAAGTAGTGGTAGTAGTAGTAGCAATAGTGGAAGTAGTAGTAGAAGTAGTGGTACTACTTGAATATATTCTTCTGCATGGATTGATATCCAAACTACATTGCTTCTCTTGAGACATATGTGCTTGTCGGCCATCGTGTCGTTGTTTTTTGCAGGTTTTGGAAACCTCACCGTGCAGGGGAGGTTCTGCCGATTTTTTTTAAATGACAATATTTTGTTCCATTTTTGTAGAGAAGAGCCCGTCGGAGCTGTGTCGGAGTTCCCGTCGCCGTGCTGGTCTGCCTGCACCGCGTCGCCTCGCCACTACACCGACCCGCCACGGCCCCGCTAGCCTGACTCCGCCGCCACCCTAGGTATAACCCCTCTTTCCGTATCATGGTCGTAGATCGCGTAACCCAGTTAGGCGTCTCCCGTTCGAAAGAGATACGGCTGGAGGTATGTAGATCTTTGCATATCTATGACCGTATCTGTTTCAGATTGTCCACGTTTTTTGGACAGCCCGCGGATGCGTAGATGGGTTAGTTTCCATGGTCTGCTACGGTCCGAGACAGAGTTTCGGCATCACCTCCCTGTTGTTCTCCGGATACGCACTCTTCTTTGGCGGGACGTGTATCTAGAGAACAACGGGGAGGTGCTGCCGAAATTCTGTCTCGGATAGGAGTAGAGCATGGAAACTAACCTTATCTAAGCATCCGCAGGTGGGATTAGGACCTATCCTCACCTATTAGACAGTAGGAACACCATGTAGATGCAATTGATGGTTACATTACTCGCTGATACATATGTTAGAGGATGTATGACAATCAGTGGATGTACACGGGCTGGAGAAGTAAGAGTGATTACACCACGGAATGGATGAACAAGACCGATGCTTTCTTGAACAGTGCATTTGGCAAGGCTGCTAAAGGACATTGCCTAGTTTTGTGTCCCTGCAGCAAATGTGGAAACAGGAGAAGGGTAAACAAAGTGGAAATGGGTAAACATCTTGTGAAGAATGGATTCACGCAGGACTACACCCGGTGGGTCCACCATGGTGAAGCCCATCATATGAGAGAGGAGGTGGTGAGACCACGGGTGGAGGCTTTTGATGCTGATGCCGGGGTAGCAGACATGTTAGATGACTTTCACCAAGGATAGTTCGATGAGGGACGTGAGAAGGAGGAGATGGAGGCAGCCGCACAGGCATTCTACGACATGATGGAATCGGCACAGAAACCCCTTCATGATCGGTCAATGGTGTCTCAACTGGATGCCATTGGACGCTTAATGGGGTTGAAGTCCGAGTTAAACTTGAGTCGACCTGGCTTCGATAAGATGTTGGCCGTGATTGGCACCCTGCTTCCGGAGGGCCACCTTCTGCCAAAGAGCATGTACGAGTCACAGAAACTCCTTCGTGCACTTAAGATGTCGTATGAGCAGATACATGCTTGTTCGAAGGGGTGCGTCCTATTTAGGAAAGAACACGAGCATGCAAAGTTCTGTCCAAAGTGTAATTCCTCCAGGTACCTGGAGGTAGACTCTGATGATGGCCAGAAGAGGTAACTTACGATCCCCGTGAAAATCCTACGATACCTTCCATTCCTACCGAGGATCCAACGGCTATACATGACCGAGGAATCCGCGAAACAGATGACATGGCACAAAAATGGCAAACGGTACAATCCTGACAAGATGGTACATCCATCCGATGGTGAAGCTTGGATCCGCTTTAATGACAAACATCGTGACAAAGCAGATGAGGCTCGTAATGTACGTGTCGCGCTGGCAACAGATGGGTTCAATCCTTATGGAATGATGGCTGCCCCATACACATGTTGGCCCGTCTTTGTTATCCCCCTTAATCTCTCCACCCGGTGTCTCCTTTCAACGACATAACGTATTCTTGTCGTTGATAATTCCTGGACACCCAGGGAGTAATATGGGTGTGTTCATGGAGCCCGTGTTTGATGAATTGGTCCGTGCTTGGGACGAAGGGGTATGGACATACGATCGAGCTACAAAGACAACCTTCAAAATGCACGTTTGGTACCACTACTCCCTGCATGACTTCCTGGCGTATGGGTTATTCTGCGACTGGTGTGTTCACAGGAAGTTCCCATGCCCAATATGCAAGGAAGGTGTGAGGTTCATTTGGTTGCAGAAGGGTGGCAAGTATTCGTCGTTCGACATACATTGTCAATTCCTACCTCTTGACCATCCATTCAGACAAGACATCAAGAACTTTATGAAAGGTGTCAAAGTGACAAACCCTGCACCGCGGATGATGACTGGCCGAGGTTCATGCTCAGATAGATGCTCTCGTGCCCAATGAAGAATGTGGTTTTGTGGGATATGGTGAGCAACATATGTGGACTCATATCTCGGGCATGACGAGGCTCCCCTATTTTGATGACCTTCTGCTGCCACATAACATTGATGTAATGCACACTGAAAAGAATGTCGCCGTGACACTTTGGGCAACACTCATGGACATTGAAAAGTCTAAGGACAACCCTAAGGCTAGAGTGGACCTGGCAATGTTGTGCGATAGACCAAATCAAGAGATGTAGTCTCCTAGTCGTGGCAAGACCTAGAGAAGGCCTAAGGTCGATTTCATCTTGAAAAAGGACCAAAGGAGGGAAGTACTTGAATGGATCAAGACGCTAATGTTCCCTAATGGGTATGCAATGAATCTAAAGAGGGGAGTGAACTTAGGCACTCTGCGAGTAAACAAGATGAAGAGTCATGACTACCACATATGGATTGAGCGGCTTCTTCCGGCGATGGTTCAAGGCTATGTCCCAGAGCATGTCTGGCAAGTGCTGATAGAGTTGAGCTACTTATTCCGCCAGCTTTGTGCCAAGGAGCTCTCTCGGACCGTCATTGATGACTTGGAAAAAGCGGCACCCGTGTTGCTCTGTAAGTTGGAGAAGATCTTTCCACCCGGCTTCTTCTTGCCGAAGCAGCATTTGATTGTGCACCTCCCGTATGAGGCACGGATGGGGGGCCCGTGCAGAACCGTTGGTGCTATCCAATCGTGAGATGTCTGAAGACTCTTCGCAAAAAATGTAGAAATAAAGCCAAAATTGAGGCTTCCATTGCAGAGGAATACATTCTAGAGGAGGTGTCAAACTTCACAGAGAAATACTACACTGAGAAACTTCCTAGCATTTATAATCCACCCCCTTGTTACAATGCTGGCAAAAATGAATCGAACCTCAGCCTTTTCCAAGGGCAACTCAGAAGCGCAAGTGCATCGACCACTAAGCAATTGAAAAATGAAGAGTGGCGCAGTATCATGCTATATGTGTTGACCAACCTTGTCATGGTGCAGCCGTTCATTGGGTAAGTTCTGAACGAACTTGTTTCATTTCGCCATATGTCCTTGTTTCTTCGTCCAACCCCCTTGTTTCTCGTTGGTACAGGGAATTTCTTCGTCAATCCTGGCATGGATCAAGGCAACCTACCCCACAAGAAAATGATACCCTTCTTTCACAGGGTGCGGGACCAGGGAGCCCCGATTTCATTTGTTGGTTCAAACAGAAAGCCCAAACTGATGCGCCTATAAGTGACGAGCTGAGACAGGTTGCAAACGGCTGTGCTATTAGGGTCAAGTCATTTACCGGTTATGACGTGAATGGATATCGTTTTCACACAGCAAGCTACGAGCAGAGTCGGCCCAATCAAAAAAACCACAAACAACAAAGTTGTTACGCCTGGCACTGATGGACTCGACTATTATGGAAGAATTGAAGAAATCTACGAACTATCATTCTATGGTTCCAAACCTCTTACTCCTATCATATTCAAATGCCATTGGTTTCATCCTGGAGTAACGAGACGGACCCCTAAGCTTGGGCTAGTCGAGATTCGACATGATTTCGTCTATCCAGGAAAAGATGTCTACATTGTGGCTCAACAGGCCGTCCAGGTTTATTATACGTCATACGCGTGCAAAGATGCCGAGCATCTTAAGGGTTGGTCTATTGTGCACAAGGTATCGCCACACGTTAAACTACCTATCCCAAACGATGAAGATTACAACTTCAACCCAAACACATATGATGGAGAGTTCTATCAAGAAGAGGGACTACAAGGGAGGTTTGACATAGACTTAACCGAAGAGGTAGGAATGGAAGTAGACAATGAAAGGGATGATGACGAGGACACTGGAGACGAGGTGCGAAATCTGAAGGACATACAAATGCTTGAGCGATTACGTTTAGGCAATGACAATGAAGACAACATTCCTCC